CAGGGTTGCATTTATACTTGCCAGCACCCAGTAAGCTGGGAGAACTGGAACGTTTCTTAAGTTCAATATCTAAAGAAGGTCCAGGATGGTCCAAAATGATGCAGCGATATCTACAGAGCGAGACCAATTAATGGGAAAAGTTTGGCTACCTCAAACTAGCAAACAGCCCCAGGGTCAGGGTCCATCCTCTGGCTCTAAATCCAGCCGGGATGGTCTGGCTACAGCTGTAATACTAAATCCTTTTAGCCTCCACAATGGGGTGGCTGCCTCCAAGCTGCCCATGGGAACAGGTTTGGGACTCTGCTCATTTCCAAACCACGACTGGGACCTGTTCGTGACCATGCTGGCCAACCCCACTCAAAACCAACCTCACTGACAATTTAACAGTACTGGTATTTAACAGCCCAGGCCCTACCACTGTGTAATTTATTGGTAAAAATACTACTTTCTGGCCATTTTAGTTCAGAGGGATGAGTCCGCAAACTTCTTTTGTTTAGAGGCTGAGCCGACCGTGTCCCTCATCTTTCTCAGTGTGTCCCTCATCTATCTCAGCATGTCCCTATTCAATGACACAGCAAAATCTACCCTGCACACTGCGGGGACTCCAGCAAGTGGGATGGGAGAGTTTGGGCATGGTGGTACGAGGCCAGCATCCCCAACTGACAACTATATGCAAAGAGTGTGAGCCCGGGGCTGGAAAAGGAAGGTTTGGTGATTTTTCCTGCTATTTAGATTCAGTTTTAATTTTCTCCTTTGTCATATGAGCATTTGTCAAACACAGTTTCGTAGGACAAGCTCTTCCACAGCCAGCACTAAACGTGTTCATGTTACACTTGCAGGGCAGGTCCTCCAGCATCTTAAGACCTTGACCCCTGCAAGTCTCTCTCAAAGGTGAAGCAAAAAGCAAGAAACTAGTATTTAGGCAGAAAGGTGAGGAGGTTCAGGAAAAGTGAAGGGAAAGAAGTCTCCCCACCTCCCTTATCAGTATTCTCAACAAAATTAAATTCAAGCTGAAACCCTGCAATCGCAGAACAGGTAGAGGTCAGGGTGAGGCACACCACAGCAGGGTTAAACCAGGACTGAAGTATAACAAGGCTGTGATATGGGTATGTTTATGGGACAGTTAAATCATTTCTTAAATCACCTCACCAAAGGCAGACTATCAGATCAGACGTGCCTGTACCTGAACTACTCAACTAGGCTTGCTTTAGAGCCCATGGAGACAAATAGGCTCTTCTAAGGCACTGCCAGGGACCAGTACAGCTCACCTGCAGACAGGTCAAGTCCTGCAAATGCCAGATTGTCCCCACTGACTCAAAAGGGAGTTGAGGGTGACTGTCTCAGATACGGATATGTACCCTGGGGACATCTATACCCATACCTTCTCCACTTGCTGCAGAGCAGCCCTTTTGTGACTGCAGGAGCAATCCGACCTGTACTCCCTGCTCTGAACCTTGCATGTGCTGAGGACTTGCTGGATCAGTCCCAAAGCTTTATGTAAAATGGCTGTGATGTGTATTTATATGAATCATATACATTAATTACATAATAGACACTCAGGCTCCCCATCCCACATGCACTTTGCTCATGCATAGGACACAAAGACTGAGTGCATTCGCTATGAATCACGCAGTAAGACTACGTCCCTCAGGCAAAACTCTCTCTAAAATGACCATGTTCATATATTCCCATGGTTTCCACTACGATATTATTTAATTAAGAATATTAATCTGCTAGGCCACCAACTTTCACCGTCTTCTGGGGAATTCTGAGCAGACAGATATTTTAATAAAATATGGGGAGTCCTGCTCTTTTTATGACTGAGGTGGTGCAATAAGGTAAGCCAATTACATGGCCTCATGAGCTTATTTTTTATTTATTCTTGATATGAACATGAGACTTAAGCACCAGCGAGACTGCTGGTTCAAACGTTGCATGAGTGATGCCAGATAATCTTTTTTTTTGCTTTGCTTTTCAACTATGGCTGTGGAATACTGCCCAAATACATGTGACACATCAGTAATCAGTTGTACAACACTGCAAATACAGTACCGAACCCCATTTGGAGAATATAAGATGAATACTTGAAGTTTGTCAGCCATGGGCACTCATTTGCACGTGCCTGCAGCATGCCTGCAAACATTTCAGTTGTGCAAAGAAATCAGTCTAGACACTGACACGACCAGTTCAGCCACATTACACCAGCCCGCGCGAATAACTCCTTAGGGTTGCAGCCTGTTGCCCTTTTCCCCTCTCCCGTGGGACTGCAAACTGCAGGAACTGTTATGGCAGTCCCCTGTCACCTCCTGTCCTACAGCCTCAAAAGTCTTCTGATGCTCAGCCTAATCCGGGATTGAAACACAGGCATCCTCATCACCAAGAGATGTACCCATCCCAGGACAGGGAGGAACACCACCATTTTGGCCATGGGATGGATGTGTTTCTGGTCATGGGAGTACCATTGAAAATAGCTCTTGAGGGCTGCCACTGACAATAGAACCAGGAACCACTCTTTTGAAGGACACATTGCTTTATGAGATTGTATATCCTCAATGTCTGGCTGAGCATAACTTAAGCAGTTGTCCAGGCAGAGCCATGGAGGTCTGCGGAAAGGCTGGGTGATGTGAAATTGCAGCAGGTAGGAAGTCCTGTGCCTGTAGGTGTGACATCCAAGGCCTGAGGGGGAAGCTTTACCCGTTTTCCTCCTGCATGATGTTAAGCAACAGGCAGTAAATATGGCATTCATTAAAATTACCTTGTATACTTTTAACAGCCTTGATAATCAGTTTTCTGCCACTGTATTGGAAAGAAAAGTTGGGTTTTATTCAAGGCCTTGTAAAACTCTAATTTCTCCCTCATGCACTGGAGGTGCCTGAAGTTTTCTAATGTTTTTAGTGTTTCTTAGCAGTCACTTTTTTCCCTCATCAAGGCTCTGTTCTCCTCTGAAAGAAGTATCAAGTGGAGATGCACATTTCTCCGTGTGCAAGGGATAAACTGGTTGCTGTAACGAGCAGCTTTAAACTTGCATTTATCCCTCTAGTTTATACACAAAAGCGGTTGGATCCTGCCTTCCCTTCCTGTGGCACTACTAGGTAGAAACCCTTGAGAGGAACCGCAGGGTTTGCAGCTGGGACTGCAACGCACCTCCTTGCAGCCTGAGCATCAGAGCTCGTCCTTCACCCAGGAACACCGCTCTGTATTTCTGAACATCAGCAAACACTGCAGACAACTGCTGGCACTTGTGGAAGATCAAAGTCCCCTTTTTCAATCTTGAATCTAACTGGAAGCAAGATCCTTACGCAGGGAAAAGGTAAAAGAGCATTGTGGAAGTGTCAGTCTAACCCCCAAGAGATGAATGGCTAGAAGCATGAAGGCAACCGACTGCAGAGTACGGAAGAAAAGTTCAGTCCACGGCCACATAATGTACATAGCCAGGTCTTTTAGTCAGTCTGCCTGTGCCCACATGCCAGGCACTCACGTCTGAATACACACAGACAAGCAAGGGCTGCAGGGCAAGTATGTGATGGTACAGCTGCCTGGTCCCAGCCGAGCCTCTCCTGGAGGTATTGCTGGGGGCACAATTGCAAAAATAACCCATTCGACAACACAGACCATCAGGAGGCTCTGACTCAAAGGGAACCTGTTTCTGGCCAAAGCAAGCATTTCCTCAGCATCAAGCTGATCGAGTTTTTTGAACCAAGTCAGCGCGTTGCACAGAGAGCCCGCAGGAACCTGCTCCACCACCCTCCAGCCCTCGGCCCACATTGGAGATGTTTGGCATCTCTGAGAAGGCAGAGCACGTTAGGACCGCAGAGGTTTTTGCAGCTGTTTGTTTGAGAAACAAAGCTTCCCTCCTCCAAGATGAAAGAAATCAAGGAGTCTACGCTAATCAAATCCTACACGCCTGCTGGCTGAAGCTCAGCTTGTCAGTGATGCAGCTCAGTGGAGTGATCAACATTTCCAGCACTATGAGCTTGGTGGAAGGGGAAAACACGACAGCAAGAAATTCACCTGGCTGCGGGACAAACAGGTGTATGGCAGCAGCATCCAAGATTATAATAATATCTTGCAAACATGCAAAAAATAGATGTAATAAGACTGATTCTTTGGTTTTCATTAATGAATCATAAAGGCTTTACATTACACATGCTTTTTTGGCATACGCTGCTAATATTTCCACATTTGCAAGGCTGGAGTTTTAATACTGAGCCGCCCTCCCCTAAGGTTCCTCATTTTTGGCAAGATATACAAGGTGACTGTGGGCCATGACAGGCTCTATCTTACTTTGGGGCAATCAGATTACTTTGCACAGATGGTTTTATCACTGAGACCATTAGAGATGAATTGCACAGTATGTAAATGTACATTTGTTTGATTAAAAAAAAAGTCTCAGTTCCTCACTGCTGTCTTGTCTATGTTCCTAAATGTATTTCCTCTCTCCCACATCATTCCAAATCACAATTTGTCCAATCTTTACCCTAAAGTGAGTCAGTTAGTTTCTGATAGGCATCTCAAGTACACATTAACTAAGGAAATAGGTTTTCTTGAGCTACTGGATTGAAATGCAGGAAAATGAACCTTAGCCTTAGCTATGAAGAAATAAAGGCATCTATCTGTCAGGCTGCCTAATGTCACACACACCACAAAAGTAAAGCATCAAAAAATAGAGAATATCACAATTACTTTAAAACATGCGAGTAAACTTCTTCTCATAGGGGGGGGAAAAAAAGAGAATTTGTTCATAGAATCAGGTTCACAATTTAAAAATAGTCTGATCTGAAATGGACCTAGAGACATTCAAACGATACATGCTTAGAGCAACACAGCAGCTCTTCTACTTCGAAAAAAAGGGACTGTGACCCCCGCGTGCCACGCAGTAACCCTGTTATCACCGACTCAGCTTTGCTCTTCTTATTAAGGTTTGTCTGAGGTCACGGAGGCAGCCTCTGCCAGTCCTGTCCCTATCTGCATAATTGTTTTAGGCAAAACACAGTCTTTACCTGAGAGGCGTCTGGGTACATCGGTAATGGCTGGAAGTCCTGTGCCTCGAGTGGAGGACAGGGGAGTTGTGGAGTGAATGGACGGTGAAGTCATCTGGCTCAAGTAGGATGGGTAAGACTGGTCATAGGACCATGGCGGGGACGACTGCGCCTGCCTGGGGTCTAGGGGAAAAAAAAAAAAAAAAAGATAATTTTTTTTTAATGGAAGAAAAAATTTAGGGTATCAACAGTCTAATTGAAAGAGGTGGGAGTACTGAACATACAGACATTAGTGCTATAAGGAATGAAAATGTAATGAAACACAACTTGCTCCTCTAGGACTCAACCCCTTCAAGCCTTGCTCTGTGCTCTTCCCTCCCTGTAACAATTTTTTTGGGGAAACGAACGGAGCAGTGAGCAGAGTTTTAAAAGATCTAGCAGCTGTGCTGCAAATTCCTGGTGTCTCTCATCCAGGTCTAACAGCGTGTTATACCAAGACTCGCCAGTCCTCAAGGACTCGGACAGATATGCGGACAGCAAGTATGAGACCCAGGTCTGAGCTTAGGAAGTGGACTTCAGAGGTGGGGAGACTCTACAGTCAGCACTTGGCATGCCTGTCAAGTTGTTATCCAGTTCAAACATTGCACAGTAGTGTTTTCACTGCAAACACTATCCAAGAAGGAAAACGTCAATCTTATCAGCATCCGTTCAAAAATGTCACATTTGGATGCTTGCCCAATTACCTACGGTCACGTCAATTACAACAATGTGAAAGCAAATGCTTTGGGATAACTATCGGAAGCTAATGATGCCTTTTGATGTACTTGCTACAGTTCACCATGGGCGAAATTATTTTAAGGATAAATACAGGGTTTTTTTTGCTGAAGCGCTGGTGGATTGCACTAAGTGAGAGAGAGGGAGACCTAGTTGTACTCACTGGTGTTTGGATTTATAAACCATTTGCTCTCAGTTAATATCTGGTGATAAAGATACCACTGAATGCCTCATAAATTATTATTTTTCTTTCTTTATATTGATAAAAACAAAGCACTTTCAATCCCAAAGTTTGTTTTGGGCACTGCACAATAAACAGAAAACTATCTCTGAACTGGCTCATAGAAATTGTAGCACATCCCTCCAAATCCTCCCCAATATTTTCAGTGAAGCACATCAGGTCCACTCAATTTGGAGAACCTGCTATATCAGAGCACTGTGCTAAGGCTTACTTTGTAGGCAGCAATGTGATAGCCACATGGCATAAAAAAAGGCACTTTTTCAGGAAATTCAGTTGTTTTTTTTCTTTTTTTAACTCATTTCCCTGCTCTTCCACACAGCAAAACCTTGTAGTTTCAGCTATTCCTTGTTTATTTTTTCTGTTCAGACATGATTTGTTTGAAGAGATGTCTGGAAAGCAGATACTTCCTTGAAGCAAAGCAGCAATGTGATAGCCACATGGCATAAAAAAAGGCACTTTTTCAGGAAATTCAGTTGTTTTTTTTCTTTTTTTAACTCATTTCCCTGCTCTTCCACACAGCAAAACCTTGTAGTTTCAGCTATTCCTTGTTTATTTTTTCTGTTCAGACATGATTTGTTTGAAGAGATGTCTGGAAAGCAGATACTTCCTTGAAGCAAAATAACTATATATATATATATAAAACCCTCCAACTTTCCAATTTAATTTTAAGAGGATTTTCCTGGAGTTTGCCATTTATATTAGAGCTGAGTAATATAAATGGTTAACATAAACTCCTCAGAAATCCGAAGGACACTTGATCATTAAATGTAATGAACTTCTTTGTTTTAACAATTTCAAGGCTAGGGTTGTATAGATTGGCACGGGTTCAAATCTGACTGACTGCTCATTGTTATATCTGATATCGACATATTTCTCTGCCTCATTCCACTACTATAATTCACCATGCAGTCAATGGTAAATGATCTTCAACTGGGAACAGAAAGCCTAGGATTGCTGCAAAAACAATCTTAAAATTAATGATGTGTCAGGAGCACAATCTCAAATCCAAGCTCCTTCAAACTCCAAGAGTTTTTCAATCTCTGCTTCCGAATCCAAAACAGAGTCCTTTAAAGTTTGGATTTTAGGTCACCTCGAATGCTGGAAGAAAATTATATCGCAGGTAAAGGCTGAGAAAAAAAATCATGGCAGAGGATGTTTTTACAAGACTTTGGTCTAAGATGGTGAAAACCTCAGGAAAGGAGCTGCCTTCTGGAGGTTCACGCCACTTCTGGTATTGCAATCCTCATGGCATGAGAAGATCTTGAGCATCTCCGTCATCCTCACCACCCACACTAGACTTGTTTTACACCTAACATCCTTAATCCAACAACTGTGAACGTCTGTGTGGACACAAGGACAAATGGCAAAAAGTGATCTTTCAAAGGCTCATGTGGTCTTTCAAAACAGTATCTTGCACTAAGCTGTCAGAGGTAGAATACAGGTCTGGGTGGACCATCAGTTGACCCAAAAACATATCATATATTCTTATGACATCTAGCTTAAATTTATAGACAGTTTCAATAGCTCATTCCAACCACAGATGCAATTCCACACTTCTTTTTTAGATATATCTATTTGATTTCAGTTCTCCATGAGTCCAATACTGTGAGATTTTAAACTGTGAAGTATTTTAGAGAAAGAGAAAAAAGAGGATGGACTTAGTGAAGACACTGTGCTGCGACTCAACTGCTTCTGGCCCTGAAGCAGATTTCCTGTTGAACTTGGGTAACTCACCCAACCTCCATTTAAGGCAATTTCTACCTAAATTTAAGGACAATAATGATATATTGCATATTTAGTTGGTCATTTTTTTAAGGTGCAGGCACTCTCTAAGTACCTCATTACAAAATGGGGTGCTTATCTTGGCTGGAAGTTTTCAACCCAGATATTCAGGTGCAAACTTTAGGCCCTCTGGAACTAGAGTGCAAGCAACTTAGCTCCAGGGAAATGAGATCACGTCTTCTCAGGGAATAGGAAATAATAAAGAGGAAAATGCTCAACCAAATCAAACATCAGATGATGCATCAGAGCTCAGCGACTGAGGAGAAGGTCACAATACCCTAGGCTGGAGAGGTTACTGCGATTCCTCCACACCAAGCCATGGCTGAGGTCATGGTCGAGGCCAGGTGGGGAATTTTGCCCTGGGGCTGACTGGCCTCAAGAGTTACCTTTGGCCCATTAGGAAACCGGAAAGTGAAGATACAAGTTTCACCAGATCCTAGAGTAAATGCCCTAAAACTAGCTTCTGCTGACTGATAACGGCCAAGGTTTGCATGGGCATGAGAGGAGAGAGCAACGAAATACCCTCGCCTTGCCAAGTCAAAGGTGATCTGCTAGCCCACAGGGTAAACTTCACTGCTCAGTGACGTTGCCCAATCCCCAGAGTAAAATGTCGCGAGGCAGAGTCCAAAGCTTCCCTGTCTAGTCCCTGAAGGCAGACATGCAGCTAAGTCTCACGTGGCACCCTTTGGTGCCACCAGCAGACGTTCCTTGCAATGCTGCTGAAGCAGAGACGTCGGTCACTGAGGCCCAATCAGCCCATCTCTTCTGAACCCACACCCCACCAAACCTCCTGGGGGGAAGGAGGGTTCTGGGGGCACCATGGGGAGGTGCCAGTTGCCAGAACAACACTTCCAGGGCAGATCCACACAGATGTTTCTGAGGGAAACACAACAATGTCCTTAGGAGAGTCACCTCCTCCTTGCTCGGCCATGGAAAGGGTGGAGTGACTATTTAGCATATACCAGAGGGCAAGAAGCTACAAGTGGATTTGTGAGAGGTTTTCCTTGGCCTCCTACACCAGAGACCAGCTTCCCTGTTCACTCCAGCTGGTGGGCTCACATGTGTCCGCTGAGTCCCTGTGGGCCACCAGCTTTGCACTGTCACCCGAATCATCATGTGCTCGGCAGACACAGCACATCTTCCCAATCACAAAAAGTCCAGAACAGATCAGAAACCTTAGAGCTCTAAGGCACAACAAATGTGGATTTCTCCGTAAAGGAATCCCTCCAAAACAAGGGAAAATGCTAATACAAAAATACAGTGAACAGCCTGGGAGAAAGCCCCTCATCTTCCTATACAGCAACCATGTGGAAGGGCTAGCAGAGCAGTCAACAGCAAACGAGGCAGAGGGCCACTTTGAGTTGGCATTTGCACTTGAAAATTTTGGAGTGATTATTAAGAGCAGTCCTCCTTTTGTAAACATTTCTGTTATGCCTGCGTGGGTGTGAAGAAAAGTGTGGCTTTCAGCATATTTGTTCACAACAGGGCATATCATGTGTATGCTAAGAAAGCTTGGGCACAGCTCAGCTGAAACAAGTCAGCAGGGTGAGGTCTAAACTAATGCACAAACAGCTCCATCCTGTTTGTACTTCCAGGTAAACCTCGCCAAAGCAGGAAACATTGAGTATTGCAAATTACTTTGTGTCTAGGTTTTACTGCCACATTTATAGTCAGTGCGAGATATATATGGTCCTTGACCCTTTGTGGTCCGTGACTGACTGCATCAATGCACAATGGACACTGATGCTTAATGGACAATAAGCGGTTTTTAAAATCAGTCTAAGATTGGACACACTGTATAAAATTAAAACAAAAAAAAAGAAAAAACAAAAAAACTACCCCAGTGACCCATTCTCCCACCAACGACATTGGGTCTCCAGCAACGTGACTTCTCTTCCTTCAATGGAAATGTTCTGAAGTGTCAATGGAGAGAAGAAAAAATCTGTAAATAGCCCTGAAGAATGAGTTTTTCCACTGCTTCGGCACTGGATTATGAAGCACACAGATTTACTACAGAAAAAAAATCAACTTCCCATTTCCCAAGCTGAGTTACATGATCAGAGCATGATCACAGGCTCGCAGCTCCTTGGCATCCCGTCTGTAACACCCCAATGTCACATGCGTGCACGCACTTTGCAAAACCACTCTTGTTTAAATCCAGCCATCAGCTCTAGCACTGGCTGCTGCTGACTGTAGTAGTGCTACTGCCGATACTAAAAAACAAGCTGTCTGGAGCTATCTTTGGTAAACACTTAAAGCAAATATCCTCACTTCTGATCTTAACAAAGACAAGATGACTTTCTGCATGAGTAACCCAACTATTGTTGTAACACCACCTCCCCGCAGCAAAACAACAACAACAAAAATGCAACCTCCTTCTCTTGACTATTTCTTAGGCATCTTTAAAAGCCCAGGGCTTGATCTGGATTGCCCAGTTCAATCAATGAAGTCAAATCCAATGGAGTTACACCCCAACATACAGAAGCGTAATTGAGACCATATTTTGGCCTGAAGAACCTCTAAAACTATTTCTCCTCCTACCGCCCCAAGAGTCACATTTCTAAAAGAAAAAAAAATAAACCAAACAAGTCATGCCAGTAGGGCAACTAAATTGTAAAGGAGGGGGTGAAGTTAAAAGAATACTGTAACAGGAGGGACACAAGCTTTACCAAACGGAGGTTCAAGATGGCAACTTGCCAGTCGCCTGAAGGACACAATCGATTCACATAAAATACAGCAGGCTGCAGCCACCCTTGTGTTCATGGCAGCAGAAATCCCAACTCCACTGCCTCATCCGCTGAGTCTTGTAGCTTTTATGCCACGTTACAGTGAGCTGAAGGCATAATTCACCCTATAAGCCTATTACTTGGGCAATTTCTATATTATCTGTTCCAGGCAACCACGTACTTTGACTTATGTGATCTCAGGTGGATGTGCACCAGCTACAAACCGGTGCGTACTTCAGAGTGCTGCTGGTCCCAGGTAAAACACAGCCAATCCCTGGCAGGGCGCTTGCATAGTGCCGGTCTAATAACAGCTACACAGTTTTTGTTTCAAACCTGTCCTGCAGCTCATGGTCTCACAGAACAGACATTGGTCTTTGATACAGATGCTGCACAGCTTCATATCCAGAGCCCGGGTCAACACTATGATAAGCACGGCTTTCTGCCTTCTCCCTGTCCCTGCAAAAGGGCAGCATCCAGCCCATCACCTGCAAGTCCTGAACGGGAGAATTAAGGAGGGTCCATCCTCATCCTCCACCTGAGAGTCGAAGGTGCCTTCTGCCCATGGTCCTCCCAGAAGACTCAGTTTACATTGTCCCTGAAGCCAGTCCCTGCCTGCCAGTGGAGATGAGTCCCCTCTCTAACTTGCAGGTAAGCCAGCTCCAAAGCCTTTAAATCTGCTTCCTACAACCCTAAAAATGAGAAACGAAAGCATAATGTCCCTGAAGTGCAGGGGGAGGGGAAGAGGAAAAGGAAAAAAAAAAAGATTTCACGGGACCTGCTTTTGAGTGCTGCTGTTTCAGTGATGAAAGTCACAGGTTGCCTATAGATCAGACGGTGCCACAGTGGTGATGGAGCATGAAACCTCACTTAACTCCCACTTTGCAGACCCCACAGCCCAGCTGCGGGGTCCTCACACCAATCACATTCCTGCCATTACACCCGTGGCTTTTCCTGGCCCACAGAAGCTAATCCTCACCGGTTGCATTTTAGAAAAACAAAAGAGTTTTCCTCATTTCATACTGAAACACTGACGCAACAGCTCGGTGTCTGAATGGGAATGTAATCGGATACGTGAGCAAGTTGTGCGAGTGCCGTTATGGAAAGAGAAAAAAATAAAAAAGCAAATATACCAGTATCCAAATGTGAACAGACAGGATTCCTGATTTACGGGCAGCAAGCGGGGTTCAAATTGAATCTGCATTGCCTCAGCAAAGGCATCTGCTTATTGGACGATTTGTTTTTTAATGACCCTTCAATGTTGCTGTTGCAGAATCCTAGTTAAAATGCCATGTTGAATAAGGGCAACTCTGTGCCTTGTACTGCCACAGCCCGGCCCCGTGGTAGGTTTAAGACTGTGCCGCGATTTGTAAAACCTGTACTCTGATACTCTAGCAAAATAAACACAACCTAGACAGAGAAAAGAAATATAAGAGTGAACCCCAAAGTGCTGAGTTCTTTCAGACTCAGGTGTGGGCCAGCCAGGCTTTAAATATTATTTCTGTTTAATCGTGCAAAAGCCAGGTAAGACCTCAAGTGGAATGAAACAAAAACTTTTATGTGCTTACTAGCAACAATATGGATTTTGTCATAGGAAACCAGTATTTACTGTGAAAGTTATTAGGAATTAATTATTTTCCCTAAATTACTAGGTAAAAAGATTAAGAAACAAAGGTATTTCTAAAGGAACGCTTGGTTAATTCCAATAAAGGTAATAAAAAAATCCTTGTTTTTCAGACAAGGGTCTATTATCCTTTTAATACATGCCCATCCATAGCAGCCCAGTGACCACGTTAAGAAGCCAGTGGTATTCCCACAACGAGGAAACTGGTGGAGACGGACAGGCCAAAGAGCTCACTCCCTACTACCACACCAAACAGGCGGACTTTCAGCGATTGCCCATGCTCATCCAGCACCTGATCAAAGAGGTGCCTCATCTGTGGCATCAACTTCACCTCTCGTTGCAACGAGCATCCATTCATCCCAGAAGAACTCAGAGGGACTGTCCACAAAAAGCATCCCAGCACTTTGGTGGAACATCAAAGCACGCAGAGCTTTACAGATTACAATCAATGTCCTGAAGAGCAAGAAAAAGCCTTGTAGGGAAGCCAGCGCAATTCACAGAGCTTACATCGACTGAACATGCTCACGCTAATCGCCTTATTAAATGGGAGGGCTACCAGAAAGCTAATGAATAGCCTTTGAGGGCTGGGTGTTTGACTTCTGTAAACCAAGGAGGAGACAAGAGTGGGGAATAACACGGCAAATACTGTACCAGACCACTTACTGACTACAAACTTTAATAAGCAGCTAAGTCCTCGCTGTTTTGGGGGAAATAAGAGCAATTTGGGATTCTAAAGTATCTCACGACCGTGAGTTTACATGGCAAGAAAAGCAAACTATCTACAATAAATGGGAAAGTCAGCCTGCCTTCCTTGGTTCAGCTCACTTCCCTCTGCCCTACCAGCACATATCTTCCCACTCTTGATGAAGTCTCAGCTGGTACTTTGAACTGCTGACTCTTAAATTTGCAGAGAAGACAGCGAATGCCACACAGCTTTGTTTCAAGTCAGGCTTTTTTTAAAGCTCATCTGAAGTTTTCACCTCCTGGATCTGTAAATGCTGCTGCTGATTCATAACGAGGCAGAGAAGTACTCTATTAATCAAACCCAGCAGAACATTTTCTGCAGGAGGCATTTATGTGAATGAGAGCAGCATATGAGGTTACACTTAGCTAGGAAGAAAATTACAAGGGGATCTCAGTTCTCGTGCTTCAGGGCATAAGCTGATCACCAGATGGGGTCAGAAAGAATTTCACCCTCCTTCGTTCCCAGATATAGTGTTGCACAATAGGTAAACTATGGAGGCACAAGAAGAAAGAAAAAAGCTGATTATAGCCCTGGATTTTCCCTCTGCTTTCTCGGGAACTATGTCCCCAAACACTGCCAGACAGAAGATAGCAGGTTAGAAAAAACCCTGGGCTCCAGTTTGGCAGTTCTTACCCAGAAAATGATATGTGTAAGAGCCATGACATCACATGTCCAATGAAAAAAACACAAAGCCCGGCCAAAAAACCTGCTCTGGGAAGCTGGTGAGCAGCAGGTACCATGTAATAGGTACTATTGACATATTTACTGTATTATAAACATCTTACACTAGTTAAAGTTAGGCTCCTAGATCTGGGAGACCTTTGCCACAGCTCATGGGAACAATTTTTTCGTTTCAGTTCTCTGAGTGCTTCGGGTTCAAATTAATGCATTTACTTCTCTTTCTTACTGCAAATTAATAAACCAGTGGAACTTAAAAAAGAAGAAAAAGAAAGAAGAAGAAAGCCACAACACTTTGTTAAAACCGCTAAGTTTCAGCTGGTATCATGTCAAAACCACTTGAAACATGAAACCAGAAATCTTCCTAGGTTGACTCAAAGACTATGTCTATACTAGGAGTGCTTTACCAGTATACTGGTAAGGAATAATGGTATATAACATTGGTAAAAGACTCCTGGTGTAGATGCAACTATAACAGCAAAACTGAGTTTTAAATCGACCTAGTAAATTGACCCAAGATTTTTGTTGACAGACTTGCATCTAGGTGAAATTCTCCAACAGTTCTAGCAAGTGAATTGGCCAGGGGCAACACCTCTTCACATCCTGAATAGACACAAATACATCAGCACAAATTTTGAGCGCAGAAATGGCCAAAATTAGGTAGAGGTTGTTTTGAAACTCTTTTGAAAAACTTAACCAGCTCTGAGTTCAGAAAAATTACAAAATTGATTTATTTTGTAGGCTTCACAGATTTGTTGCAAACCTCTGGCATAGCTGCAGTTAAACATCTTATTTCAGTCTTATAATCTGTGACACATGGTACTTTATGATTTCCCTCAGCACAATGAAATCTGTCTCTCAGCATGCAATCATAAATGTTGCATACAACATTCACAAGCAACCTTTGGAGATTTCTCCACAACTCAGTTCGTTTATTGTAACAGTGGTCAGCACTGGTGCTAGAAGGAAACCACCATGTGAGAAGATTGTATTATTATTCCAATAGAAAGACCACTAAATGCTGATCTCAACACAAGTGCAAAATAAAAAGGCTAAATAAAAATATTCATTCTATTATACGCTAATACATACTATTGCAGACACGGAGGAGAAGGCAGAGCAACGTGGCAGTTAGAATTTCACCAGATTCCTGCTCAATTTACCCAGATTGACTATTTTGGATTATTTTGGATTTAAGGCAAAAAGATATTTTTAAAAAAGAAAGACATTTTCAGCTTCAAACACTATAGAAAAATCCACTTCCCACCTAGCTTTGCTTGGAACACATCTCTCACTCTGCAAGAGCCTCTTTTACTGCAGTTGAGACACAAATAGCCATAAGCAATTACTACCGTTGCCTGTGCAAGTCAAACCTATGGTTCTGTCTCTTACCTGTAATCTGACTCTGTCCTTGTGGATTAAAAGGACTTGGTGTAGAGTTCAGGGAGGGCCGTGGGCTCTGGGTCGGGACCCCTACTCTCATACTGGGATGAGGAATGCGCCCTAAATCACTGAGGCGTTCAGAGAACAAACTAGGTTTAGAGTCATCAAGCTTCTGTCTGTGCCCTGGAAACAGTAAATCATAAAATAAAAGCGTTAATAACAAGATTTAGTAATTTAACACACCCCCACAAAACCCCAAAATGGCCTCTAAGGACCTGTTATTAGATTTAACGGATTTACAGGTATCTCAGCTACCCCCGATGAAACAGGGACATCAGTGGGGGATTTGTGTTTTGGACAGGGTTGTGCTGGTGAGAGCCTTATCGAGCACAACTGTGCCCACACAGATGTGCACCATGTTGCAATTTGGATCAAAATAAGGACACCCACACAAGGTCTTTTTTATCTTTTTTTTTTTTTTTTTTTTGCTGCTTTAACTACACTGGGTAGTTAAAGGGGCAAACTTTCTTTTCCAAAAGCAAGCCTCATACGTAAGTACAAGTTATCAAGTGGGACAATTATTCCATGCTTGGTTTATATGTCGTGGATTTTTGCTAAGAATATGCAAGCTTTTCTTCTCCCCTTATTTTTTTGCTTTGTTACAGTTAGTCAATGGCTTTCACTCCTCTGGGAGATTTTCCAAAAATTAAATAGTCACTGTCATTTGGGAAGAGCAGTATCGCAAGGAAAACCTTCAAAGCTGCTGGTCAAGACTGGGTTCTATGCTCCCTTGGACAGTCAGCCTTCCTCAGTGCTCCTACTTCTCTCCCTAAAACTAGGCAAAGTGCCCTCATGCCATATGGCTGCATTGGGAACAGTCATTTATGGCTGCTCGGTTGTCAAATGTAAAAGGGGAAAATGGCAAAAGCAACAGGATGCCCCAAATGGTACTTCTCATACTGTCACTGAGATGTTTGAAGAGTAAAGGTTTTGCTTTTCTAATTGTTGTATTTTTGCTCCTAGGTTTAATTTCTTTCCACAGTAGTTATAGGATGCTTCTCGCCCAATGGTGCCTTTGAATGTGAAGCACAGAAGGTGTTATTTCTATCATTCAACATATGGAGAAACAGGCATGCATAGAGATTAAGGTCTCTAACTCAACTCAACTTCAGCCATTCATAAATCAGGCATCTAGTCTAAACTCTTCTAATGTAGACTTCCTCTACAGTTAATGGAAAGAAATAGCTACTTCCAGAGGGCAATTCATCTCATTTGTCTCTGACACTGGTCTTAAAACGGGATGATTCATCTTCTGAATTTGCTTTCTCTTCCTTCTCTGATCAGCGAGGGTGCACACATAACCAGTTTAATTAGACACCCTCACCATTAGTCAACATTAAATGGAATGAATCTTACCCTAAGTTAGCAACCAAGGTCACCCAAAAAGCCTCTGGTAGAACTGAAACGGGGGCCCAGACCCCCTGTTTGCAACCCAGAACCATGTCTTCCTCCTTCCCTGTAAGCAGTGCTGGGGCACAGGCACAAGCAATAACTGGGTAGGATATTTTTATGCTTTTAACAATAAGAAGGATCTCTGGTAGGGTCTGGGCTTGAACCTTCCAGATGATCCCCAGTGGCTTGAGATAATCTGTGTTGTCCCTCAGCAGTGTGAACACAGCCATCTGTCTGCAGGCTATGAGAGTTCAGCTTTGCAGACACGGTCAGATTGTCCCATCTATCTTAGGGCCAGAGAACCAATTCTGGCACAGTTTAATTTATTTTAAAAGTGTAAATGAAGCCACTGAATCCTGAGATTGAACTATCAGACTACCACTCTTTAAAAAAATGCCTTTTAATGGTACCTCTCACCACAGTAATGAAGTACATGGGTTCACATCATCTAACTGCAACCATGGCGCCTCCGTGACACATAGGCAAAGCAATCTCAGGACTAGACAGCTAAGTCCATACTAGATTCAGAGAAATCATGGTTCCAGATAGACAGCAGTGAAGGATTCAGGTTGGGAGATGAGAAGAAACTGGATGGAATTTAATTTTGGAGAAACTTCTCTAGCAATTTAAAAAAATTAATTAGTTGACCCATTATTTTGTACTTTGAAGTATGATTTTTTTCCCCCCTAAGATGACTCAGCTTAAATGCGTGGGGTAGGCGGGAGCTTTCTCCTTAAGGAGAAGGTGCTGCTCGATGTTAGAGCTGACATGGGTGGCTACTCCTCTCTTCAGGAGGTATCAATCACTTTAAATGGGGAATGATTTTTGGTGGGCTTGTAACAACTCTGTAATGGCAGCTTAATTAACAGGATAACATCTAACCTGGTAGTCTTTAGCATTATCTTTCCAATCTATTTAAATTACAACTTGTACAAGCTGGGTGCTGCTAAATCTGAAGAAACAACTTTCACACACACACCCAGTCAGTATTCTCTCGGGATTTCTCCTTCTCCATCTTTTCCTCCACAATTTTTACATACTTGCTTTTCCCTTTGCCAGTCATATCTTCCACTTTGTTTTTAAAGGCATCTTCTTCCCCATCCCTTTTCTCTTCTACTCATTCCTAATCACATTTTGGTAAATTCAAGAGGGCTCAAAAATAAGGCAAACATGATTAGTCTATCTCTGGCCTTACACACCAGGGCTGACTTTATCTGGGAATGAATCCACCTCTAAAGTGAATTTTATTTTGAATTTTTGTACGAAAATCCTGTGCTATGTTCATACAGTGACCTTTTTGCTAAAGAACCACTAAAAAAGTGGTGCACAAGCTATTTTAACTGTCTTCAGATAACTCAATGCACGCTTGTTATATAGGTCACCACTTCTGCACCAACCTGTGCCCAATAACCCCCAGCCTTGTTTTCATCACGCTCTGTTTGCCCGTGCATAGCTTTGATAGAAAAGAGTTTATATTTAATTATGTGTATTATTATAATGAACTAGGTCTACGACAGAAATACAAAAGTCAGCAGGATAACACTCCACTTCAGTGTAGGCAGGGGACAAAAAATAAGAAAAAAAAGGGGAAAAAAAAGAGGAAAAAAAGAGGGGGAAAAAAGTAAGAAGAAAGATTCCCTCATCTGGTTAGATTGAAATGATCTAGAGATGTGTGGGTTTGGGTGTTGCCATCTCCTCCCTTCCCCCCAAAAAAATAGTAGGGAAGAGAGCTATATGCACATCTGGAAGACCCCAGGCATCAATGGAACTGCAAGTCCCCAGAAACCAGCAAGGGGCCAAAGGCAGACTTGCCTTCTCCTTCTGGACATTTAAAATTTAGGGTTTTAACACGGAGTCATGTTGTGACAAAGAGATCCACAGAAGGAGCCACACTCCCCCAGTGAAATGTCCCAGTGAGATGAGATGACTACATTACAGCTTTGCACGTTATGGGTTACTACGCTTGGATAAAAGCTAAGATGCGCTCACATTGAAAGTAAGCAGGAAACTCAACAAAAACTTCATATTCAAGAGCTACTCACAAAAAAATGTAGGGAACTTAAATAAATCTCTTGCCATGATTCCTGTGCAGAAAAAAAAATAAAATCCTATTAAGTACAGAGGAACTATGAGGTATGGGCTGAAAACACTCTAAAAAGGGCTTCTGAGTAGCACATAAGCAGCAGCAATGAAATACGTGATACATGTTTAAAACTCATTCCACAAGCTGCTTTTCATCTCTCATTGATATATGCGTCTGTTGACAGAGAAATTCCTGATCCCAGGAGAGTGCGCTAAGAAAAGCTGTATTCCTTGGTCTCAGTCATGAGGCGTAATTTTATTTCAGGAAAAAAGATTAGGGTAGCAAGTGCGGATAGCTCAGGGAGAATCTGTGATCTGCTGCAGCAGTGGGTACATTAAAAAGCAATATCAAAGCTACATAAAGAATAGAATAAAATAATGTTGCAGCTATCCCAATGCCTGCCATATTGCATTCAGTGCTGGTTGCTCTGTTACAAAGATGATTTTTCAGAACGGATTGGGCTTGGAGGGGGACAAAATGGTTACGGACACAGGCAGTCTTGGATATGAAATGCAGTCAAAAAGACTGAGGCTGTCTCATGCGTCATTGAACAAGGATGGGACCCAGTGAGCATTGGAACAGATCGGGTCACAAGCAAGGAGATGGGAAAGACATGAGAAGAACTGAGAGTTAATAGACAAAAGCTATACAAGCTGTTCCGATTTGCCTGTTGTCACAGTACAAAACATGTTAGATATTAGAAATTCATTATTCGCTCCAAAATATTCTGGTCTCTCACCACTACTCAGCTATTTCAAGCCAAACACCAACCTGAGTATTAGTTTCTGGAGACAGAAAGCATTGCCATTAATCCACCCCAGTACCAATTTTGGCCATTTTACATGAACCAAACCAGAAAACAGTACTGAGAGAGTACAATAAAGTCCATGCAAACTGCAGCCAGGCAGACAGTGCCTGCACTGCTGCTTCAGCTCGCCAGTCCAGGACGGCCTCAGAACATGTTAAAATGGACCATAGAAGCTAATGTTCAATTATCACATGCCAGGCATGGCAGAAGATGTGAGGAGACTTCATCTCCAGCTAAATGATTTCAGTTTAAACTAAATGAAGGAATGTCTCCCAGATCAAAGCAAGGCAATCTTGAGTCTGCTGGATGTGGTAACTGGAAAGGGACGTGAGTTCGTCTCTCATCACTGAACTTCCACCGCTCCGCTGGAGAAGTCAAGATGTAAATCGGGCCATGGAAGAGGCTGACTTGCAGAATGTAAATGTGGTGTTAATGCTTGAAGATTTTTACCTCCTTGGAGAGGAGGGGTGTGCATTTTTATCTTTCAGCTTGTGGGTGTGGAACTGAAAACTAATCAGATTATGCTACACGTGGCCTTGCCAGATGCTGACACTCAGGGACTCCCTTTCTTTGTACCGTATACACCACCCACCAGTTTTTTTTTGTGTGTGTTTTTTTCTGGTACCAAGGAGATCTGGTTACCAGATTTTCAACAGATGCTTTTATCACTCTCAAGTGGGTTAGCTATTTTCAGTCATCACCCAGTTCTATCTTTTTTGCTTTTGTCTTAACAACAAGAAGTATCATGGGAGTCAGGTGTCTCCGTAAAAGAGCCAAGGGAAGGCAGAAAGGTCATTAAAGTAAGAACATGGGCTCTCACCTGCTGGGGATACATTTGCT